CCCAATATAGGTATATACATATATATATGTAAAGGGGAATAAGTATGTGACGATCACTTCTCACAACCACAGTGAGACTCCTCACAACCATATATATGTGAATGATCACAGGCAGTCAAATCCAAAATCCAAGCCACAGAACATACCTTCAATCACATCAAAGAATCAACCAAAGGCCCAAGCACTACACGAAGTCAACTTCAACCAACCTTCATACTCATACCCCTCGCTTTAGCCATGCAAGCCCCAACACTTGTCCAACCAACCTTAATTAAATACTCGGTACCTTCGTTAAATGGCCATTCAATAAAAGTCCGGGTGAAAACCTTAAGAAAACAACAAAAATCACCAGGGCCAACTCATACCCCTCGCTTTATCCATGCAAGCCCCAACCCTTATCCAACCAACCTTAATTAAATACTCAGTACCTTCGTTAAATGACCATTCAATAGAAGTCCGGGTGAAAACCTTAATAAAACAAAAAAAATCACCAGGGCTAAAGCCTTTTCGATTGAGCATTGAGGATGAATTGAAGTTGAGTTGTAGGCCGACGAATCGACAACCGACCTGTTATCAGTGATAACAGAAGGTGATCCTTGTAGGATCAAGTTGAATCTAGTCCTGATTTCAAATCAAACGCCCAAGAGGACCTGTAACACAAGACAGGTCAATCCCCAAGCTAAATCTATGAGTCCAAATCGAGAATAATCTTCATAATCATGACCTCACCAAGAATCATTCTACTTGACTAATCCTGAGTCTACCCCTAAGTCAGTGCCTAGTGAAAAGGTAGATCTTTGACAAAATCTCCTCTATATAGAGTGGATTATCAGAATTGCCACCTTTCAAAATATAATCTAACTCCTCTAAACTAAGCAAATTTCGACAACGCTTCCCGTAGGAAAAGTGCCTTCGCGGAATTTATAATAACTCTAATATGAAAACAAAAATTATCTCTAACTCTAGAAAGTCGAAATTTGCCTAACTCCCTGAATTAGTAAAAATTTGGGCAGCACTTCCTTTACAAAGGTAGACTTCCCAAATTTATACTAAGTCAGATATGAACTCAAACATAAAACCTGAGTTCAACTAAGACAAGATTTAACTACTCTCAAACATAAAACCTGAATTCAACTAAGACAAAATTTAACTAACTTCTTAGATTTGTAAAAATTTCCGCAGCGCTTCCCGTAAAGAAAGTGTTATTCCAAGATTTATACAAAGCTAAGTTCAAAATCTAAAGTGACTTTCACTTCTCAAGGTCTAGTTTTGTTTAACTCCCTAAATTAGCAAAAATTTGGGCAGCACTTACTAAACCAGAAAGTAAAAAAACTGAACCCTGAAAACGACAAAATCTGACTAACTTCTTGGTTTTGTCTAAATTTCGACAACACTTCCCGTAGAAAAAGTGGCTAACCAAGATTTATACAAGACCAAGTATAGTGAAAGTTATTAGAAAATGCAAAAATTGATGTTAAGTAAAAAAAACTTAGCTCAGAGAATGCAGGAATTGGAACTAACTCCTATGGCTCTAGCACGTGGCGAGCGTCTAAAGCAACTACCTATCAAATTGAAACTCAGACCAAGTAGTAATCTCACTTAGTCACATGCAAGGCCAAACCACAAAGGTAAGTACTTTCACCAACCCCAAGTCACTTTATATAAGATAGTTCATGAAACCCTCAAATGATTTAATCCTTATACCCAACTTACATATGGCACAATGCTAGACCATTCGACTTGGAAACAATGTCCAGCGTGCCTTAAGATATACACAAACAGGTTGCACTACTACTTCTCTCTTCTTTGGGAATACGACTAGACCATTCAACTTGGAAACAATGCCTAGTCGCCCTGAATTGTTTAATATCCAAAATTTAATAACTTTCTGACTTTGTTCTCAAACGAAAATACAAATATGGGCACGGGACTGAACCATTCGGCTTGGAAACAATGTTCAGCTTGCCCAGATTACTTTCAATTATACCCTATAATTTCCCTTCTCTTCTTAGCGATATGGCTTAGCATTGGACCATTCGGCTTGGAAACAATGCCCAGCTGCCAGTTCACATGCAAATATAAGTAGAATACTTTCTTTTAGACTCAGTTTATACCATGGTTGCCCCGAACCCGGACATCCAGACACCGGACATCCAGACACCGGACATCAGGCCCGGACCCATGTCTGGATTAATCCGGACGTCCGCTAAACCGGACATCGATCCAAACAACCGGACATACGGACCCGGACGGTCCGGTTATGGAAGAACAGATTCGGATGTTCGGACTAAAAAAAAAAAAAAAAAAACGCTACTGTAGTTATGTAGCTTGTGTTATCCGACTTACCTTGAACACACTCACATACACACACAACTGCAAGAACAATGGAAGGGGTACCCCAAGGACAACCAAAAACTGTCTAATTATAAAATTGCCTTAATATGTTGGATTGTGACCGTCCCATCTCAAATGCTCTCGTTGTCTGCAATACGACAAAGACTGCTTTGATTCTAAATCTATTCATCTGGGTGGAATTGGGGCTGTTGGGGGGAAAATCACATGCACACACACACACACACACACACAGTCTCATCTCAAATGGTCTCGTTGTCTGCAATATGACAAAGACTGCTTTGATTCTGAATCTATTCATTTGGGCGGAATCGGGGCTGTTGGGGGGAAATCACATGCAGACACACACACACACACACACACAGTCTCATCTCAAATGCTCTCGTTGTCTGCAATTCGACAAAGACTGCTTTGATTCTGAATCTATTCATNACACACACACACACACACACACAGTCTCATCTCAAATGCTCTCGTTGTCTGCAATTCGACAAAGACTGCTTTGATTCTGAATCTATTCATCTGTCAGTGGGTGGAATTGGGGTTGTTGGGGGGGAAATCACAAGCACACACACACACACACACACACACACACACACACACACACACACACACACACACACACAACCAGTTCTGCTTGGCCCGCTGAAGCTCACCCAAGATTGCAAGTACAGGCCCTTCAGGGCCAGTCCGGTTGGCCCACCGGTCCACCAAAAACTGCACCGACAATTTTCGGGGGTCCACCAGGCACTGGAAAATTGCCTGGGGAACCCAATTTCTTTTTTCGAATTTTCTCAAAATGGAGCCCATCCGGACACCTCAAACCGGACACCAGATCCAGACATCCAGACAAGACCGTCTGGATCCCGATCCGGACGTCGGTTGACAACCATGGTCTATACTTATGTGTGTGGTTTTCAGGCTAAACCATTCAGCTTAGAAAAATTTTTCAGCCTTAGACCAAAATCCTCCCCCAGAATAAAACAAGAACTTGAACCCTTCAATTCAGGCAAACCCTCAGAAATTAAACACAGCAAGCAGACCATTCAGCTTAGAAACAGTGCTTGGCCCTTAAAAAAACAGCCAAATAAACATAGCCCTGGGCCATTCAGCTTAGAAACAATGCCCAGTCCTTGGTTGACCCGGTCAAAGGCATGCAGTCTGCATTCCTCCCACCTTCTCCAAGTTCACCCCTTAGTTTGCTTTCTATCAAAATAAAAATAAATTTAAAATTTTCACACCCATTCCTTCCATTTAGTCTGATTAGATCTTGAAAGAAAGCAAAATCATAGGGGAACACATGCATACAGTCAGTCACACTAAAAGGAAATAGTCAAACAGGGGTATAGTGGGGTCATACAGACAGAAAAAGATATACCTGATGGTTCCCTGCCTCCAGAACCTCGTCTAGGTTTCGGCATAGCTCCCGCAATCGGTGGGTGGACTCCCCACAGAGTCTTGATGCGGTCCTACGAGTTGCAATCCCGCCTGCCGCCTTCCTCTCAGAACCAATAGACCAGACTTAGAGTGAGAAGGGCAAAAGGAGATGGGTTTGGAACTCTCAGATCCAAGAAGGGTGCTCTCAGACTCGCGTGAGAGGGCCTTGATACCTTCACTCGCCCGAGGGCCCCGCAATGGTGGCCAGAATGTGCCGTAGCTCGGTCAACTGAAGTTAGACTACCGCTGTTGACTGTCCGACGGCTCTCAAAATCGCAGCAAACTCCCTTCACTCCTTTTTTTTTTTTTTTTTTGCAAGCTCACTCCTTTGCAATCTCGTAGTTTTCCTTTAATTACAGCAGTCGGTAGGTAGAACATCGCATCAGCCAGCAGGTGAGTCAGCAATCCCCGCGGCTGGCCTCCTTGCCGTTTTTCAATACCAGGAGCGGTTTCAGCAGCCACATTACTATCAAGAGTAGCAGCAATACCGCCCCTTCTTGCGAGCAGCGTTCGTATTTCCTTGGTAGTGCGGCTACGGTATGGTTTCCTAGAAGCAGTGGTTCAGCCACATGCGCTGTCGGCAATCTGCAGCACAGTGGTCAAGACTCCAGAACGCAGGTTGTTTCCCACCACGGAGTCTTCGGCCTCTCCTTCCCTCTCTCTCGCTCGAACCTCAGCCAATGCCCACTGCACTAATCATCGAACCTGCGGAAATAAGCCTGAATTTGGCCGATACGCACATCTTTAACTCCCACTGCTTCGTTCGCCAAGATGGGCAGCTCCAAAGGGTATTCAACAGGGAATTTCTCAGCAGTAAAAGCAGCCGGACTCGGCGTCGAACCACACAGACCGCGATAGGAGCATGGGGACCAGCAACCCTGCCAATATCAAGCTGCTATTTTCGGAAACATCTATCGACACCACATCACTCTCCTTAGTGTTTCCAGCCTCAGCCCGTAATCGAGTGCATGTAACCACAGAGGACACGGTGCTAATCATCCTAATATAGAAGGCACGTACTCTCATAGCTAGGCGGCAGGGCTGATACTGTGATAGAAAGCACTTCGACAACTGAGTCTCAACCTTTCCTCTCATTGCCATTTGCCCCACGCACTTCTCCCCTTCTCATACATGCAACACCTGAGCAGTGTACGTACCCACAATGCCTGCCTATTGATGTCTGCAACGATAATTCGGAGTGCGTGAAGATGTCGACCTTGCGGACCTCCGCCAAAACCAGGTACGTGCTCTTACGCCAACACCTTGATCCTTCCACTAAACTCACAGATTCATGCGAGCTTTTCCCTTCTACAGAGTCTGCTGCTTGCTTCCGCAAACGGTCCCTCAGACGATCCCGTCTTGCAGTCTACGAGGTAAGCTTTGTTTCTCTCTCTTTCTCTCTCTCTCTCTGATCACATGAGCGGAGTCACGGTGAACCCTTCGCAAAGATGCGGAAGGACATGCTGCCACCCCAAAATTCATCGACACAAAACAAAATGACTATGAACCTACCACTAAAACCCGACCAAATGCATTCAGCGTTTCCCGTTTTCACCTCCAGCGCAGCCTATTCCTCGATTAAATCCTAACTTACTTACCTGTCACTCAAACTAACACTACCATCGACATCGACCTGCCCCCAAACTATGGATTCTACTTTCACTCCGCCGCAATCCGTTCGGGAACGCACGAGATATGCGTTTCCCACGTCACCCCTTCTTTCCGCCATAGCCCCGGGCACAACTTTCTCTTTCTAACTCCTATTCTACTTACTGCCAGCCTAAACTAACGCGAGTTTCGGGGTCGCCCACCCCAAAAACCCCACCCCTGGTTCTTGCCCCGTCCGTTTTCACTAAGAAATGCGCGCACTGCACGATTCTGACTGCGGCCAGTCTTCTTCCAACTTACGCCATCTCCATCTTCCTCTGCACGCACCCGGTACCCCTTTACGTCCACGTTCATTCGCTCCTTAGTTAGCTTTGCCCTGCTGCTGTTGACGCAGCCCAGCCGAACCCGTCACTCTTGGCTTAGCGCTTGTCGCCTCTCCTCCTTGCTCCTGGCGTAGCGCTCGTAATAGGGTCCGCCCGACGACTCCAACCTCTGCAGAGCTTCTGAGAAGTCGACCACTTAGGCAGCTCCAGCCCTTCGCTCCTTTACTCCGCGGCCTGACAGAGATCCCGCAGCAGTATAGCCGCAGTCTCCCTCACAGCCTTCCTTGGCCTTCGAAGAAACTTGGCCCTGATGCTACCGGGTAGCCCTTGGCCGGTACCACCCACCGCTACAACAGATATCGGCCCTACTGGTGGGTGGTGCTCCCGCATGCTCCCCCGTTGGAAGCTTGAGCGCGGACGTGGCTACTACGGATTATCCTCGAAGGGTTAACTTCGGCGTGGTCACGAAAACAGTCCGTGGTCGTACTTCAGCCCCCCCCCTTGCGAATACAACGTGCTCTCATGCGACCTCACCGAGCCCAAAACGTAGGTCGTATACATTTAGCATTACCGACCCTTTTGCCTCAAGCGCAATCACACACTCAAGTCCTGACCGCTCCGTGTTCCTAGCAACGACGTGGTGAAAGACTTTCGCCAACATCCTGAACTCGCGGACCCGTTTACACGAGGCGCGCACTCAAAGTCCTCGACCACCGCGACGACCATTAAGTCCGGCGTCGCGTCCAAGTCAATCAGCACATCGGAGTATGTCAAGAAATTAATAGAAATACGGTGTTAAAAGGAATTTATCTAGAAAATGCCACTACCGATCGAACGCCACCAACAGCAAAACCAAGGGGAATAGCCCCGCCAGGCCCTCAACCGCTCGTTCCGTCCGCGCCACTCTGATCCTCGCATCGTCGCCGCTCGACCTCGTTCCCTGAATCTCCTCGACGAAAGTCGGGCGCCCTAACCACTAATGCTAGGCCCAAGTCTGGGTTTGGGTTTGACGAACGCCTAAATAAACGGACGCCGTGCGACGCGCAGGTCTACCGAAATGTTTACAAAACTCACATTGTTGTCGATGTCGTCCTCCGCATGTACGCACCAGTCATAGCAAGCGCACCAATCATCAGACATCCTTTTTAGTCATAATTTAAGCAGAATAACAAACTCGGCCAGCACCCACGCCACCTCTACAATAATCAACGAGGAAAGAGATCACGCGTGCCTTAAATCTGCGCGCCCACACACTCCCTACTCTACTCAATTATCCAGTCAAATGTAAGGAACAGACGCAGCCGCGCCTCGCGCGGGATATTTAAGCTTTAAACCAAACTTATTTTTGTCGATTGCAAAAACCAGGGCAGATACCCTTGTAAGGGTATTCGCACCGACACCGCGTGCGTTGAGAGGTTGTGCTTACAGGGGCAACCTGTGCCAAGAAACAGCGCACGGTAGTCACCGACTACTTGCAGCAGGCGAGCCGATGAAAATGCCGCCGGAGATAGAGGGAGTAGTCGCTAAGTACCCTGATCTATTTGAGGAGCCAAAAAGGGTTATCGAGAGGGAGGTCGTCCACGCAATAGAGATTATCCCAGGGTCTAGTATTCCGAAGGGTAGGATCTATCGGATGTCTCCAGGCGAGCTCGATGAGCATCGTCGGCAGCTCAAGGAACTCGTAGAGAAGGGTTGGATGCGGCCTAGTGTCTCCCCTCACGGGTCTCCAGTCTTATTTGTACCAAAGAAGGGGGGGAACTTCGAGGATGTGCATTTGTCTATAGGGGCCTCAATGCCATCACCGTCAAGAACGGAGAACCCCTACCACGCATCGATGACTTGTTGGACCAAGTGCAAGGGTGCCGGTACTTCAATAAGATAGATCTGAAGTCCGAGTACCATCAGATTGCAATACGGCCCGAGGATCAACACAAAACCACTTTTCAAACCAGGTACGGTCTGTACAAGTTTGTAGTAATGCCTTTCGGCCTTTGCAATGCTCCTGGCACCTTTGAGCACGCAATGAACCGGATCTTTCATGACTACTTAGATAAGTTTGTCATTGTGTACCTTGATGACATACTTATCTTCAGTAAGACTGTCGAGGAGCACGTTGGTCATTTAGACAAAGTCCTTAGTCTCCTTCAGCAGCACAAGTTCAAGATCAACGGCGAGAAGTGCGAGTTTGGCCGTACTCGTATCTTGTACTTGGGTCATGAGATTTCCGCCGAGGGATTGAAGCCCGATGACGCGAAGGTGGCCAGCATTCGTGACTGGCAGCGTCCTCAGTCTCTGACTGAGATTAGGTCCTTCTTAGGGATGACCGACTACTATTGCAATTTTGTGAAGAACTATAGCATAGTTGCCGCCCCTTTGATGGATATGACCCGCCTTGACACCACATGGGAGTGGACGAACAGGTGCGAGGTTGCTTTCAAAAATCTGAAGCATGCTCTGACACACCATGAGGTTTTAAAACTTCCCGATCCTGACAAGCCGTTATAGTTACCACGGATGCTAGCCAATATGGCATAGGCATCGTGCTCGCGCAGTAGGACGGGCCAAAGTTGAGGCCTGTTGAGTACATGTCCAAAAAGATGCCCGCTCAGAAGTTGGCCAAGTCCACCTATGAGAAGGAGCTTTATGCGATCTATAAAGCGCTAACCCACTGGACGCACTACCTCCTTGGGAGGTTTTTCTACGTCAGGACTGATCACCAGACCCCGAAGTGGATGAGAACCCAGCTTGTGCTCTCCGATGCGCTGAAACGCTGGATCGAAGTCATCGAGCAGTATGACTTCAAGCCCCAGTACATCAAAGGTGAGTACAACAAAGTTGCTGACGTGCTGTCGCGTAGGCCAGACTTCGCCGGTGCGCTGATCACTGAGTTTGGGCTTGCGGACGATGCTATTCGTTCTTTGGTGGAAGCCTACCGCGAGGATTCATTTATGGCTGAGATCATACGCAGACTCGAGGCGAAGGACAAAGTGACTTCTGCCGAGTTTGAGTTGATCAACGGCCTGCTGTTACTCGAGAAGGCTGGGAATAAATGTTTGTGTGTTCCAAATCGCGATTCTTTACGTAGTTTATTTTTAGGCGAGTGTCATGATGCCACCGATCATTTTGGGTATAGGAAGACTGCAGCAAATCTGTTGAGACGGTTCTGGTGGCCCACAATAATGAGAGATGCGAAGCTGTACGTGGGGACTTGTCATGTATGTCAGAGAGACGAGCCACGTACACAGGCCCCTCTTGGGCTTCTTAAGCCCCTTCCGATCCCGGAAGGGCCCAGTGAGAGCCTGTCTATGGATTTCATGGACACGCTGGTCACCAGCGAGAGCGGAATGAGATATGTCTATGTCATTGTGGATAGGTTTAGTAAGTATGCTAGGTTAGTTGCAAAGCCTGCTACAGCCAAGACGGAGTATGTGATTAAGTTGTTAAAAGAAAACTGGGTCAAAGACTTTGGGCTTCCGAAGTCCATTGTAAGTGACCGGGATGTGCGATTCACCAGTGAGTTGTGGAAGGCTGCAGCTGCAGAAAAGGGAACACAGATGTAAACGACTTCTGGGAACCACCCAGAGGCAAACGGGCAAGCAGAGCAGCTGAACCGCGTTGTACAACACTTGTTGCAGCACTACATTAAGCCCAATCAGGTGGACTGTGATGAGAAACTTGCTCTCATCGCCAACTTGTACAACAACGCTGTTCACGGTGCCACTGGGGTGATCCCTACCGGTCTTCTACTGACTTGCAAGCCTAGACTGCCCCTATCTGAGAACCAGCCAACTGTTGCACCAGGCACACTAGAGTTTGCCTATCGATATGAACAACTAATGCAGCAGGCAGTGGAACAGATGCACAAGGCACAGGCGACAATGATAGAGTCCGAGAACA